ACTGTTGACCACGTAAATGTCACGCAGTAGCGAACTTTTAGGGACACTTTCGTCTCGCATGTGGTTTTCACCGCTTCATAAGCTTGGCCACATTTGACATGATATTTCTCAACAAATAACAGAAAGAAAGAGACGAATGTCCTCTCTTGTTCCCCTATACTTCGGAAGAAACAACATGATTGTCTTGTGGCGACGACACATAGAAACTCTCTCTCTCTCTCTCTCTCTTAGCAAACATAGAAACTTAGTTTGCATTTGTTTTTTCTACAATATGTACTTGTTCAAGTAAAAACAGTCCTCACGCTGTTTTGCATGCTGCTTCGATTCCCAGTGTGGTTTAGAAAAGCGCGGAACAATGTGAACTATGTCTACAATAGTGTCGGTCGAAACGACGCTACTGTGTTGATGTCCATTCAACTTCTCTCATTTCAATTTCTTGCAACCTGTCATGTGTTGCCGTTTACTATGGACCTCCTTGTACCATTGCACAAATCCGCAGTTGTGTTCCATATTACCGCTGTCCGCGGGTGCGTCCACGACAAAAAACATGACTATTGATGCAAACCATGTGCATTCGTTGCCTGCTCTAATTGCGACGTCACTGTGCACTGGTCTCCCATGGAACTGTGGCGACGCTCTTGTAGTTTGAACAAGTGTGCCCCTGTTTGTTTCGTCCTGTACGCAAGCGATGGCCAGGTGTGTCCGTGTGTGTATAAGCAGGTCGTCAGAAGGAGGTTGACAACCGTTCTCCACTATGTATGTCGTAAGCGCAGCTCGAAAATCGCGTCTGCAAGGAAGCTCTTCGAGTATCTTACACGCATGGTTGTCAATGTCTTCTCCCTCGCGTATGTACTTGTCATCGCTGTCGAACCACCGCAGTTGCAGCATTGCCGTGTCCCGTAGTGCGAGGGTGTTCATTCCGGTGGCTATACAGTCTGTCACGGACGACCGGTTCTCAACCGTTCTCTTCCTCCGTTTCCTCACGGTCCCGATCTCTTCGCGCAACGCCAATGACCGGCGCACATGGTTTACTATCTGGGTTGAAGTTTTCCGCTTGTTTGATGACAGGTATGGTTGTTTGCAGAATTTCCTGTGGTGATGCTCCCAAACATTTAACGCGAAGGTGTCGGGGACACCGGATCGCTTAATACACGTTGTCAGATGCATGAGATCGTGCAACTTGGGGAGTTTCCATGTTGATGGTTGATATTTTCCCAATTTTCCTTTGATGATCGTTACGAAGTCCGTGATCAAAGCGTCGCATTCATCGAGCGAAGCACGACTGTATGTTGTACACTGAAACACTCGTACGTACATTTCCATTAGTTTCACAAATCAAATGGTAATGCCCTTGCCTGTCGACCGCGGTATAATATTAGAAATAAGGAACACGCACACTGTCATCATAGACCGGTTTTGCTTCGCCTCGAACCGTCCCTCCCTCGAAAAAAAGTCGCTGCCAGTGGCCATCGACAACACAAGTTGGGGGTATGTTCGCGTGCATCTCTCACCAACGCTTTGCAACCTTGCATCCAGTTCCTTCAGGATCTCTGTTTGCGGTAAGTCCGACAACTTCTCAAAGGCTGCGGTCCTGAATGCGTCAATCATATGCAGGAATATGCCGTGCTCGATTGTGTGCATACGGTCTGGTTGCAATGCCAGGTGGTAGTCTAGCTGAGGATCGTCACCATTGGGGCCCCTGTAGAACCCCCAAAGGTCGTTCTGTTGAACATGCCTATGCATGTTCAACTCCGACATCCGTGCTTCCGCTGCACGGCGAACGTCGATGTCGTCGGTGGTAAACACATCTGCTGTGAGGTGTGTTTCCAGCGTCTGTAATCTCCTGCAGTCTGTGAAATCGGTTATGACATCAAAATCGTCTTTGGACGCAGTGCATGTCGGACATACACCAAATTTCACAGTTGCAATCGCACATCGTTCTGGGTAGTCCTCGATATAGTTGAGGAGGAAAGGGTGGATAGTTATGTCCCCGAATCGCGTTGTCGGTATCATTATTCCGTCATGAGATGCCTCCTTCGCAGACTGCAACACCACTGAAAGGGCCTTGTGCAAAATGATGGCCTTTCGCTTTCTGAATGTGGTGGACTGCAGATCCCATCCTTTGTCACGCGGACGATGATGAAGCATAGGAAGATAGGCCAGCAGTGTGGCTTCAGATGCGTGGTCGGCTAGTGACATCATCAGAGGGTACGCCGTCTGTTTTTGACGACCGTCTGTATGTGTCTTGTTGGAATACAATGAAAGAGGGATAACATAACGTGGATTACCATTCCCATTCACGCCTTTATCCGCTCGAATGATCGACTGGATGTGATAACTTAGCGTCCCGTTGCGTGGGCCGGATATACTGAGGTGCTCTGACGGCGGAGACACTTCTAGAGAAGACACCGTCTCGCATTTCTGTAATGCGATATGAAAAATCGACAGAAACGTCGTTCGCCAGTCGCGCTGCCACAAGATGGCGTGCGCATCCCATGACCAATCGTCACAACGTAGATCCAACTCTTTCCATCCAGCAGCGTCTGCTAGACTCCCTGCCCATGTCAAACACTCTCGACTATTACGATACGCAATGTCTCTCGTGCAGAATCTCGGGTCCGTGAGAAGTGACAAGAGAGCATCTATGTCGCTCTGCGACATACCGACGCCGCCCCTGGCGGAGAAAACATGGCCACCAGCTTGCGAGAACTGTCAAAAGATTCGACAGGCTGCGGTTGCTGCTTTTCGAATGTCCCTCCCTCGCCGTCTACATTCTCGGGGGCCCCGATGTCCTCACTCTCATCGCTCACGAGATTCACTGCACCTATACTTGATGCTCCGGCATCATCGACCACACCCATCTCCTGGCCATGTGTTCTTTCGTCCGCCACGGCCGGACATGCCCTCGCACGATGTGAGTTCAAAGTTCGTAATGACATGAAAGACCTGCCACAGTCGCACACCCGTGGACCGCTGTCCATTTTCTGTGCACGCAGTGCATTCCAAAAACAAACAGAGCCGTACGGACAATGTTTTCATTAACATTTTGTAGATTGGTTCAGGTCGTTATAATTATAAGTTGCACAACATATTTTGTTATATTGTGTAAGTGTCGTGCATCCTCTTCTCTGTGCGAAAGAGATAGAGAGGGAGTACTGATTGCCGTTTTTGGTACAAATGGTCTGTGTCGTTGATCCCAATTGACAAAGATTAATAGTCAACCGTGCGACACGATAATTTATATGCCACGACAGGTTCTATGATCGTACATGAAAAGGCAACGACTTACATATGGTACACGATATATGACACAACATTCATCACCACGGTTTTGCGGCTGGCCAAGTTCGTAACTATCCATCGACGACGTTTGTGAATGTGGTATGTGTTTTCCATGCCCGCGTGAAAATGATTGCACCTCGGCACCTCAGCCGACCTCCGCACAAACTTTCAAAATATTTCACAACGTACTGTATTTTAATTTAAATTACAGAGAATGCAAAACAAAATACAGCATACACACATTGGTCATCACATGGGGTCTAATGTGTCTCACGTACTCCAAAAGGCAACAAATTATGACATACATCATAACAATCATCAAATAATTGAAATATTGTTCAATCCTGTGTCTGCACGCTGTAGTGAACTTTCTCTCTCTTGGAGAGACAAACAACAGGCAACATTAAATGTAACCCGCACATGGATGTAGAGGTTCTAATATAGCTACAACTCGACATATGAGAAAGAGAGAGAAATATATATATATATATAGAGAGAGAGAGAGAGGAGGTTCACTAGTGCGGGTCAAAATGACAACAAATAACACCGGTGGACACTGATATGGCACGCAGTAGGGAACCCGACCGTCGTTGAAATTGAGGCAGACATAGAGGGATGTACATGTTGAGGGATGCATGTCTGTCATCATCCCTGATGTCTAATATGGTATGTCGTGGTGTGTGGGTGTGTCTCCGGTCGCTGCCGTGGCCGATCACTAACTATTGCGTCTCCTGTTGACAAGCCGGGGTGTAATGTCTCTCCCCACGCTGTCGCCATTGCGCCGTGTACGAGGCAACTCAGGTTGACTCCCCATGTCAGTGACGTTGCTAGCACAACCTCTCTATTGACCAGAACAAACCATCCCTTGTCAACATGTGACCACTTTTTTCCCTTGTTGTATGATTTTATTATGCTGGTCACTGCGGCATACTGTAGTGCACCATCTTGTGTTGCCCCCTTCATCACAACACGCAGTACTTTGTGCGAATCAGGAAAAGCACGTGCCAACCTCAGAATTGCATGTGCCCACCCTTTTGTCACTTGTTTACCCGCATCCTTCAAATCATAGTATACATCATGTTCCTCGTCTTCCTCGTCGCTGCTGACATCGCTGCCGCTCACTTCCACGTCAGAAGATGATGCCCCCTCATCCTCTTCTTCATCTTCTTCTTCTGCACTATCTGTGTACTCTGCACAACAACTTGACAAATCGGCCTCTTCAAATCCACGATCACACTGTTCTTTCTCCATTGTAAAAGCATTGAAGATATCGCAATACACTAGCTGCTCTCTCGTTGTTGTCTGCATGGGAGGCACATCGACTGCCATACCGGTTATTGCTTCTTGTGCTGCCGATGTCTGTCCGTTGTCTGGAATGATTGCTAAATTTGTTTCCGTGGCCATCACCTTTCACCCTTGTTCTCTTTCTCTTTGTCTCTCAACATTGCAGCTTGCAAGACTGAGCCGCTCCAAAGCAGCTGATAATAACTCCCTCCACAACGGTCTGCCAGATATGATGTTGTCTTCTGTTATTGCTGATACAAATTCTATCAGATCTTGACCCTGCAGTGCAAACTCTGTCACTTCGTGCAACGCCTCATGGATGACGTTCCTGTCGTCATCACTCGTTTTTATGAATTCCACAAGTTGATCCAGCAAAATATATTCCACACCATCTGCGACAATGACAGGAACATCTTGAAAGTCTTTTGGCGGTGTTTGTGTAATGTCCTTCATTCTGAACAACACCAATATTTCTGCATCACCACTTTTCAACTCGTCCTTCAACCCATCAACCAGCATTCAAGTTCCCCCATTCCGTGCGATAGTGTCCAGCAACTTGCCCAAGTTCGCAGGTGTATATGTCCCCCCTGTGTGCTGCATTGTCATATCCACGTCTTCTTCTTCGCACATCCCTTCGCTGCAGTTCCACTGGACCATTCCTTTTAGACTGTATGCACTGTCTTCCACATCGTTGTCCACATGTACATGTGGTGACTCTCTGAAGCGTTGCAAGAGTATTCGTGCTTTGACACAGCCCTCGCCGTTTGCCATGATTGTGGATCTCATATCCACAGCGACTATGAAGTACCTCGACACCCTGTCCTGAAGCAAAGACAACTCGCTGTCACCGTTGTAGTGGACGCCCTCCTTTGCATACTTCATTGCCTCTGCAAGAGCAGCCTCCACTTGTGCTACTGACATCGACATGATGCGTACGGTTTGTCTTTCGTCCTCTTCTCTCTGCCAGCGGAAACGCACAATGACGTCATCGACATGTGTGTGTCTGTGTGTGTGTGTGTGTGTGGCGTCTATGTATGAATCTATGTGGATGTCTGTGTGTCTTTGTGTATATGTTTATGGATGTGTGTGTATGAATGATCTGTGCGTGAGTCTGCGTGTCTGTTCCCAAGTTGGCTACTGCGTGCCATTCGAAGTCGCAACGGTAATCTTTCGTCAATTTCTGGCACGCAGTAGCCAACTTTAAGGGTGCATGCCAGAATGTGTGTGTGTGTGTGTGTGTGTGTGTGTGTGTGTGTGTGTGTGTGTGTGTGTGTGTGTGTCTTTCTGTACATGTCTGTGTGTGTGTGTGTGAATTTGTTATGCGTGTTTGCTTGTGCATGTGTTAGCGTATCCGACTTCAAGTTGGCTACTGCGTATCATTTGAAGTCACAACGGTAATCATTCGTCAGTTTCTGGCACGCAGTAGCCAACTTTAAGGGTGCATGCCAGAATGTGTGTGTGTGTGTGTGTGTGTTGTATGTGTGTGTATGTGTGTGTGTGT